CGTGCATCCTGCCCAAGACTGCAGCCTCCACATCAATGGGGACACTGGAGCCCGGGGCAGCCAGCAGTGGACCCTGCCCCCAGCTCAGCCCTGCGCCTCAGTGGCTGCCCGGAACTTTGGCAGGAAGATTTGGAGGGTGCCCGCTGGGGTATCTTCTACTGAGCCCTGGCCTGCCAGGGAGTAGGAGCGTCCCCTCACCCTGACACATTTGTGTTCTGCAGAGGATGATATGAACTGCACCAAGAAGGGGGCTGTTGGACTGGATAGGACGCTGGGCTGGGGCTGGGGCTCATCAGAAGGGATACGGGCCAGTCTCCTTGCTCACTGCTGCTTGGTGGGGTTGACCAGAAGCCTGTACGCTAAGGTTGTTTTATTCCTTTTAATAACACACACAGTAGGTTGGCTTGGTGTGGCTGGCTATTTTTATAGCTCTGTCAGTGTGTCTAGCTGACAGTTATGGCATATCTCCATCACCCCCAAGATGTCCAGTAGTTGTGCACATCTGGAATGTCTTGTTTCCTGTCTCTTGTTAGTCTTCCTTCAGCCTGAGCTGGTTTGGGAAAGGTAAATGGGACCTGCTCCGTAGGGAACGTGCCACACATGTGCTCCCCTGCTACCTGGATCCAGGCCTGTTGTGGCTGATGAGGCGGGGGTCCCCCTTGCTGGGGGACCAGGCCTGTTGTACCATCAAGACTTAGGGCCACCCACCACTAGCCCTTTGTGTTCCTCTGGGGGGGGGGCTCCTGCTGACCCATAAGGGCAGCACACATGCTGTGCCCTGACCAGTCGTGTTCAGAGTGCAGCCCAGAGACGCCGGATGCAACACAGCTGAGTGCTTCTCCAAGAGTATGTGCTTCTCCAAACTAGCATGGCCAGGGGAGCTGGCAGCACAGGACTTTATTATCTTAGATCCTCAGGCTCAAGGCAGGGATAGCTTGGACAACCTGCAAGTGACCCATTTCTCACCTTGTCCCCACGTGATGGTGGCTCCAAAGGACACTCCGTTTCATCTGAATTAGGTCATCGAAGGATCTGGCTTCAAATCTAGTTCCATTCAGAGGTTCAGGCTTAGACATGGATTTTAGGGGCTGGGTTGGGCCCCGTACTCCTGGTGTTAGGAACCAGGGAGAAGGTATTTCCCAACACAGGGGACCAGTGACAGGAAGGTGACAGAGCAGTACAGATCCTGAATGCCAAGCTGGGGCGCAGACAAGGGGTTCTGCAACCAGCAGGGATGTGACTCTGGGAGAGACAGGGCCAGTCCCAGTTATCCCTTAGCCTTACTGCCTCGGGTAAGACCAGTGGGGCGACATGCGGCCGGTAATCAAGATGCCCGCATCCCACACAGCTGCCGTGCCTGCTGTCCCACCCCTGCTCCTCACTGCCGCTTCCTCCTAATGCTCACTCTGGGAGGTACAGGTGGTGGCTCAAGGAGCTGGGTCCCCGCTTACCTAGGTGGGAGACCCAGATGGCGCTCTTGGCTCCTGGCCTCTGCCTGGCCCAGCCCTGGCTGTCGGCAGGCATTTGGGCGAGTGAACCAGGGGATCAGAGTTTAATCTCTCTCCTGCTCCATCAGAAATAAAATTTGGAAGAGGCAGGATGTTGGAGAGGAGGTGCCATGATCTCTTGGCAAAGCTCCCATGGACTTGGCAGAGCTGCCAACTTGGGGAGGGAGGCTGGAGGAGAGGTAATCTGGGGGGCTGGGTGTTGAGGGACGTGTAGGAGTTTACCCAGGCAAGTGAGGGGAGTGGAGCAGCACGAACCAAGCCAGAACAGAGTGGCTGATGTTCAAAGATGATGGGAGGAATGACAAGATCTAGGAAGGAGCTTGAGGGCCGGGCCATGTGGGCCCTTTGCTTCCTAGGTGACAGGAGGCACTGGAGTCAGGGATGAGGGAGTGACCCAGTCAGAGCTGTTCTCAGGCCCCTGTGGCCACCTCCCAAGAATGGAGCCAGGCAGGGCGACCAGCACAGCCGTCCAGGTGAGAGCAGAGCTGGGCTGCAGGCACACGTGGGGCTTCCCACTGACCTTGACCCAGCCCTTCAGGCCCGGCAGCATTTCTCCAGGCAGCCTCAGGTCCCTCTCTCCTGATGGACGAAGCTTCCGCAATCACTGATGTTTCCTTTGTTGGAGATTCAGTTATTTGTAAGCAGAGTGAAAGGAGGAGGAACAGAGAAAGAGAGCTTCCGTGTGCTGACTCATTCCCCAAGTGTCCTCAATGGTCAGGGCTGGTCCACACTGAAGCCAGGAGTCAGGAACTCCCACCTGGGTCTCCCCTGTGGGCAACAAGGCCATTTTTTACTGCCTTTGTATAAGATCCGTGGTCAGAGGGCCTACATTGTGGTGCAGTGAGGTAAGCTGCTGCCTGCAATGCTGGCATCCCATATGGGCACTAGTTCAAGTCCCAGCTATTCTGCTGTCAGTCTATCTCCCTGATAATAATTTAGATATATATAAATTAACAGTGAGATGGAGATTGTAATAGTGTGCCAAGCTGTCAGGTGGTGTAATAAGCACTCAATAGAATGGCTGAGCACATGCACCTGCCTAAGAGACGCCCTGGCCCATGCTGTGTGTTGAGCCAGCTGCTTCCAGGTGTGACCTGGGGCCCTGTGTTCCAGGCCTCAGCCAGGCAGGGAGGGCAGCCCAGGGTGTCACACAGTCCCGGGTCTCTCTGCTGCTTTGGTTCCTGTCTGACTGAGGCACATCTATCACCCTGGTCAGGGGCAGAGGGAGCCGTGCCCAGGCAGGACAAGAGAGTGAGCACACACCCTGGGGTGTGCAGAGATGGGGGAGAGACCCCTCCAGCCTGCAGGAGCCATGTATGGTTGCCAGGATGTCCCCTTGCTGCTGCTGGCAGGGTCTCACTCTGTAAGACTCAGTTATGCCCTCTGAACAAGAGCCCCTGTCCCTTCTCTTTGCTCAGCCCCCTGGCTCCATCCCTGGCATGTGTGTCAGGGCCTGGCAGGGGCTGCCACCATGCTCTGTGTAACCGAGACCAGTCCACCCTACTTCCTGGAGGCTCCAGGCCCCGTGCAGCGGAGAGGGCATGGCCAGCTGTGCCTGGAAGCAAAAGCTGGGACAGGGGAAGACTCCACCCAGGCCAGGATCACACAGATCCTCAGGTTTCTGCTCTGCTGTCCATGCAAGGGCAGATGAGAGCTGCAGCAGCCCAAGGGTCAGCAGCCTGCTTTAAGGCTGGTTCAGCCCTGAGGCTTGTCCATGGCTCCTCTGCAGGCCCAGCTGTGGCCAGGAAGCTGTCAAGCAGGGGTGAGGGTGGGGGTGTGGTGCCAGGTTTGGGGGAGGGGTCACAGACTAAGGGAAGTCCTGGCTTACCCACCCTTATCTGTAAAGCTGAGATAAGCCACGCCTTATCTCTGGGAGCCACTACAGCCTGGATGGGAAAGCTAGGAAGATCGTGGGGCCAGTTCCTCTCCTGGCTGGTTCCCCCCCAAGGTCAAGTGCCAGCCATGGCTGCTGGGTACTGGCGACAGGAAGGGCTGGCCAAGAGGGGAGGGGCTGCCTCTGGCTGGTGTCACCTGGCTGGCCTCAGCCCTGGGTCCCGCCTTACCCTTTGAAGTGCAGATGGTGGGGAATGGGTTTTTTCCCAGGCCTGAGGCAGAGGCTACTGCCAGTGAGTGCCCTCTGGTTGATACAAACAGGTGAGTTCCAAGCCTCTTTGGAGCCACCAGGGAGTCCCTGTGGGGACAGCCCTCACCTGTCCTCAGCTGTCCTGCTCTGCCTCCACGCCTCAGCCCAGCTTCTTTGTGCCTGCTGTGCTGCTGGACGAAACAACCTCTTTACAAATCCTCACCCCTGCACCTCCTGGCTCCCCCAGGGGCCTGAGAGCCAGGCTAGACCCCTCCACCACTCTCATGGCTGTTAGCACCCTGCACTCCTGCTTTCATCTTAAGGCCATGCACTGCCTCCACTCTGCCAGGACCCTTGGCAGCCCGGGGACTTGCCTCCAGCCCCAAGAGTTGCCCAGTTCGCAGCACCTCGAACCTGCCTCAGCACAGGGGATGAAATGAAGGCAGCAGGCACTGCTGCCCAGGTGCACAACACCTGTGCAAGGACTGGCGGCCAGGGGCGTCCATGTGCACACACCCAGGGTCCCCAACCTCCGTGCCTCCCATGCACCCCAACTCCCCTCCACCCTGGCTCCTTCAGGTTTGGTGCACTGCTGTCATGTAACAATAAGTTAAGGGTCCCAGTGGTGTGGCCTAGCAGGTAAAGTCCTCACCTTGAATGCCCCAGGATCCCATATGTTTGCCGGTTCTAATCCTGGCAGCTCCACTTCCCATTCAGCTCCAGGCTTGTGTCCTGGAAGACTGTTGAGGACAGCACAAAGCTTTGGGACCCTGCACCCACAGAGGGATACCCAGAGGAAGTTCCTGGATCCTGGCTTTGGATCGGCATAGCACTGGCCGTTGCGTTCACTTGGGGAGTGACTCATCAGACGGAAGATCTTCCTCTCTGTCTCCCCTCCTCCTCTCTGTATATCTGACTTTCCAATAAACAAATAAATCTTTTTAAAAAAACAGTTTACAATAAGTTAAGGCTCATTTAGAAATCCTTTATTTACATGTCTTTTTAGAAAAAAAAAAATACACAGATTTGGTGCCCTGTTGATTCCTGGGGCTTGAGGGGCTCTTTATCGGCAGGTGAGAGGATGCAGGGCAGCCCCCTCAAGACCGTCCATTTCCCATCAAAGGCTTCTGTCCAAAGGGCCCTGGAGCTGGGCCTCCCTGAGATTGGACCCCAGATCTAGCATTCACGCCAGGCCTGGGGTAAGACTGGCAGGAGGGTGGAGCTGGGAAGGGCTCTGGGCAAGATTGACAGGAGGGTGGGGCTGGGAAGAACTCTGGGCAAGATTGACAGGAGGGTGGGGCTGAGAAGGACTGGGCAAGACTGACAGGAGGGTGGGGCTGGGAAGGGCTCTGGGCAAGATTGACAGGAGGGCAGGGCTGGGAAGGGCTCCACCAGCCCCACCAGCAAAAGCCTGACTGGCAGGGCAGAAAGAACTCAGTCCTTTAGGGCTCAGGACGCTGGTGCTTCAGGAACTGGCACTTGCTGTGGCCTCTGGCACACCTGGGCACTTTGTGTGTGGCCAGGCGACACGAAGGTCCGGGACTAGGCGCTGTTTTCCGTGAACCACGTGAGCACAGCATCCCGGTTCTCGCTCACCCACTTGATGTTGGCTCTCGTCTGCTCCAGGGCCTGCTCCAGTGCCCGGGTGCCTGAGCCGAAGCCCGTGTCCAAGTTGTTCAACCTAAACTGCTCCAGCTGCAAGTAAGATAGAGGGCTTCAGCCCGGGCTGCAGGCAGACGCAGCCTCTGGGGCAGCTCTTCCAGCGGCGTCCCCACCTCCCACCATCCCCTGCCACTCTGGTCCCTGAGACAGGACAGGTGTACCCTGCACACAAAGTCTGTCCCTCTTCTCTAACTCTGTCTTTCAAATAAACAAGTAAACAAACTTCAGACAGGACAATAAGGAGTTGTTCATGTTTGTGGATTTGCTAATGACTGTGTTTGTGCAATAGTTGTAGATAAAATCAGCATCTGTGATTTCTTTGAAATGGCCTTATCTGAAAGAACATTGGCAAAATTTTGCCCATTTTTAAACCTGGATAATGGGAACACGAGAGGGTCACTTGATGGTCCTCTACCTCAAAGTTCCAGAATGAATGTTTCTAATTCTGGTACAACTGTCAGCACTGACCCCGGCAGGCTACTTGGTGCCTTCCGTGTGAGCTCAGGGACCAGGGCTGAATGGCCACTGTGCCCCAACCCCAACCACCAGCCTGAGAGGGGAGCAGGGAGAGTGCCCGGGAGGGGGTCTGCTTCTCACCTGCTGCAGCTCATACTCAGTGGAGAAGCGGCGGGTCACCGTGCGGATGAGGCTGGAGAAGGAGAAGGAGCCGCCGCCATAGCTGCAGGGCAGGGAGGGGAGTGTGAGGGCCATGCAGGTGCTCACTCACAGAGGCGGAGCAGGAAACACAGTGCCTTGTCCTCCCACACCTGCCTCCCACCCTGGCCCTCAAACATGGCTCATCTTTGCCCACTCTATGCAAGGCCTGAGCCTGCAGCATTCCACGCATACAGACAGACCAGTACCATCAACCCCATCCCCACTCTCACTCACTCCTCAAAGAGCCTCTTCCAGTTGCTCTGGATGAAGTCCCAGACCAGCGACTGGCCGACGACGTTGTTGGCAATGTTGTTGATGGTGGAGGTGGCGTCCTGCCTCCGGATGTAATCGGAGTTCAGGGTATAGCTCAGGTACCTGTGAGGACAGGGCTCTGGGTGCATGGCCATGGGCAAGGGCTATTGTGTGCCAGCCATCCAAGAGAGAAACCAGGAGTGCTGGCACCCCATTTTGTGCCCACACAGCCCCTGCAACTAAGGGGCCCTTGTCCCTTCTCCCTCAATAAAAGAAGGCTGAGTCTGGCTTTGCCAAGTGTCATGCTTGCCACGTGAGATTAGACTTGCCATGCCATTTACTGTGGTGCAAATGAGGCACACAGAGAAAGGAGGAAACCTCTTTCAGGGGCTTGAAGGGCTGCATTCCAGGGGCAACTCGGGGCCAGCTGTGCCACAGCCCATAAACCAAGTCAGCATCCACACATAGGCTAAGAAACTGCAGCAGGGGAACCCATGGGACATGGACCCTTCCAGGGCTGTCACTGTCGGCATCTTCCAGTCTTTGGACAAATTGTTTTGCTTCCCTAAATGATAGCGTCCTCCAGTGTCAGCTAGAGCCAATCTCCCTCTGGATCACCAAGCCATGCCCCCATTAAAGCCATGCCCCTCTCAGCCCATCACACAAGGGTGCAGGATCACCTTAGTGAGGCATGAGGTGGTTGCTGCTGCTGCTTCCTGGGTGGGGGGGCCCTCAGTCTGCTGCCCCCTCTGGGGTCCTCACCTATTCAGGATCCACACTTCGTTGCTGCAAGCCAGGGCTGTCCGGAGCTTGTCAGCCTCGTTCACCAGGGTCTCCTTCTGGAACTGCTCCCAGGCAAAGTCCCACTCCCTCTCTCCACCCTGGGCAATGGCGTTGCAGTAGACGGTGGAGCGCAGGTTGGGGTGGATCCTAGTGTGGGGTGAGGGTGGGGTGTCAGGAGTGGAGGGCAGCAGGGAGGGTGGGAGAAGGGGCTTGCTGAGAACAGGGCTATAGGGTTCCAGGGCATGGCGGCTGAGGGGTGGCACAGGGGAGACACTTACGGGTTTTCACTTGGGTTAACCATCCACTGGTTGTAGAGGTTAGTGACCAGGGTATGACACTCCGGAAGCCCATTGGAGCAGGCGGTGCTGATGGCGTTCACCTCGTTGTACCTGTCCCAGGGGGACATGCAGTTAGCACCCTTGATGCAGACTCTGGCCAAGATGCAGCTCACGAGGCACAGCCCCAGCCTTCACCCCAGGAGCTGTGTGACCTCCACCTGCTAGGACAGCCCTGGCCCAAGCTAAAGTGTGGGTCCCTGAAGGGGTGTCTTCCCGGTGGCAGCATGGCCCTGCCAGGTGGTGAGAGCTCAGAAGAACACTGCCAGGGGGTGTCTGTGGTTCCCCATGTCCCTCGACCTTCAGTACAATGTGGGTCCCACTCACTGTTCCATCAGAGTCCCTGGGCGATTTTGCCATTCGTTGGTTATAGTTCTGAAGTGCTCGAACAGGGGCTGGACCTGCTTCCTCAGGTAGTTCTGTGGAAGAAACATGAGTGTGCAAGGATTCACACTGAGCTGCTGCGAGGAACCTATAGGCTTTTCCTGGGCAGCACTCAAAGGTGCCAGCACAAGCCTAGATGTCACATTCAGAGCCGACTTTCCTCTCCTCACAGCATGCAACAGGGATGGGCATTTGCACAGGTTAACAATCCACTCAGGATGCCAGCATCTTACATTCAAGTGCCTAGTTGTGGATCCTAAGGCTCACCCAGACAGACAGTTGTGATGGCTCGAGTGCTTGGGACACTGTACACTACACAAGAAGACTTGGATTGCATTCCCAGCTCCCAGCTCCAGCCTAACCCAGCCCAACCCAGCTCTTGGAGGCAAGTGGGGAGGGAACCAGCAGATGGAAATTCTAAGTGTCTGTGTGTTTCTCAAACAAAGAAAAGTTTTAATAGGAGAGACAGCTGAATTCACTTTAAAAAGGAACAAGCCAGGGTCAGGGAGAACACACTTGGTCTAGGTACACATTGCACTGGATTCAGAAACCACAGGAGAACAGGCAGCAAGTGAGTGAGGGCAGTGGGAGCTCCTGCCATGGTCATTTGCTGGCAAGCTTCCTTTTTTCTATACCTTATTTATTGCATGGCACAGCTAAACTTTGCACACAGCCCCTTTCAGGGAACTCAAGAAGGCCAGCCCCACCTGTTCACATGGTAGGTGGGTTCATGCAACCAGGTGATCTCCACACCACAGGAGAGGGAAGGAACTCTGAGAACAGGGCAGAAGCTGTGGCTGGAAGCACAGAGCAGACATGAGCCTGGTCCAATCAGCGGGGAGCAGTCAGAGCTGATCACCTTCCTACAGAAGGGGTGATAAGAGCAAGGGGCTGTGGGACAAGGCTCAGTACTGAGGGGTTGGGCTGCGGATGGCGGCTAGAACTGCTCCTGCCACCCACACCCCAAGCCTGGGCTTGAGTCCTGGCTCAGCTTCCTGATACTGCACACCCAGGGAGGCAGCGGGTGATAGCTCAAGTCATTGGGTTCCTGCAACCCACGTGGAGACCACGATGGAGTTCCAGGCTGTTGTTATACTTGGTCCAGTCGTAGCTGTTGTAGGTATTTGGGGCAGATGGAAGCCTTCTCTCTCTGCCTCTTAAATGTATAAATGAAAAGGAACTTGGGGGTCAGGTCTGCAGGGGCCGAGATGAGCCAGGAGCTACAGGCAACTGCAATGGCCCAATGGGTAAGATTGCCCATGGCATAAGAGAATCCAGAACCAGCATAACACAGTGGGAGGACTAATAAAGGGGTCAGATGTCTTAGGTTTCCATCCTGCAAGGTGGCTTACCAGCTCCCCTGCACACAAACTCAGCAATCCAACAGGGGTTCTAGGCCACCTGCTAGTAACAAACAGGGACCTGGAGACCTCAACAAAGCCCAGACAAACCCAGGCTGGCCTTGGAGCAGGACTCAAATCCAGGGTCTTAGGAAACCAGTTTTCTGAAGTCCCCTCCTCCTGTGATTCAAGCACATAAGAGGATAGTGGAGGGGACCCAGGGAAAGACACTCCAAACTTCCTTCACCAAAACATGTTAGCCACGTGAGTCATCAACTCAAAGGCACCCACACAGCATATCACATTGAAGTGCTACACTTTAGCTGAACGAATCCCCAAGGGATCAGACGCGTCTGCATTCTGTGGTTTTTCTCTCTGATGTGTTATAATCAATGCTGCCATGTGCATTGCATCTATTTTGGGAAGGCAGCTTCAGTCAGAATAAACTCTGGGGCGGCTTGATTTCCCTGCAGCATTTTCGCCAGACCCCACGTGCTAGCCGGACAGAGAAGGGACAGTTCATAGGGCCGGGAGAGGCACCCCAAGTCACACGGCCACGGAGAGATCCATTTTCCACCACAGCCGTCCCCAGCACCAGGCTTTCTGTGCATCCCCAAAGTATTTACATATGGGATCTCAAAGCCACCAACTTGGCTGTGAGTCTCAGCATCCTATTATGTTCCTGCCCCATCCCCAACCTGTGCACCTGCTGCATGCCTTCTGTCTTCACCTCTGCAACCTCTGATTCCCCCACCCCTCTGCCAAGCCCAATGCTGGGCAACCGTCCTGGTCCTGAGCGAACACAGGCACCAGTGCTGATGGGCCCATGAGCCTGGCCACGCTGCTCCATACCTTCATGGGGCCGTAGACCTCGGAGCGGTCGAACATGAGCCTGAAGTAGTTGAGGCTGCTGAGGGCGGCCTCCCAGGGCATGTACTCCGTCTCTCGAATCAGGAAGAGGGTGTTATTCAGGGCCAGGGTCACGGGGATTCTCTTGGCACTGGGAAAATACCGGAGAGGCTCAAGTATACAGTGCCCCGATGCCCACGCCCTCAAGGACATGCTTCAACCCTTGGTCCCTGGGCTTTCGAGGGCCTGAGATGTGAGAACCCCAACACAGCAGCACTGGCCATGGGGAGGTAGTGGCCAGTCTCAGGTGACTACTCAATGTACCCATTTTATAGATTAGAAAACCGATGCTCTCTAAGTGCTTACCCAGGCCTCTCCCTCCACCCCCATCCTGCCCATCCCAGGTTGTTTAAGCACCCAGCACAGGGGCCTCAGGACAATCTTTGTGCCTTTGGGTGAGTCAGGCTTGCTGCCTGGCAATGGCCTCAGGCAGGTGCTCAGATAGTCATCTGTAAAATGGAGAGTGGGGGCTGGGGGAACTCAGCTTGCGCAGGGCACCTGATGCCGGGTTGGGGAGCTCACCTGGCCATGTTGAAGCCATCATGGATGATCTGTGCCCGGTTAATGACAGGGATGACCTGTGGGAAGAGGGGAAAGCAGAGCGTGTGACCTCGGGCCAGCCTCGGGCAGGAGCAGCCTTGTGGTCTAGCGTCGTGTCCTGGGGCAGGGGCCACCCACCGATGGGTCACTCTGCAGCTGAGCCTGAAGCCTCCTCCAGTTGTCTTCGTCGTAGTTCACCTGGTAATACCCCGTCACATTGATGTTTGCAAGCACCCAGTCATTGCCTTCTGCTCTGAACAGCGGGTTCTGGGCTGTGGGAGGGACCAGCATTGGAATAAGGGGTTATTCAGAAAGCCGCGGCCTCCTCTCCGGGCTGCATTAGCCTGGCTCACCTCCCCCAGGAAGCCTTCCCTGACTTCTCCATGAGATGGAATCTCTTTGGCTCCCAGCTCCTGCCCCGCTAGCCCAGTCACACATGCTCAGGGCAGCACCCAGCCCGGCCCTGTGATGCTGTCCACCACTTGTCTCCCTCCCCATCCCTGCCAGCCAACTGGCCTTGACCTTCACTTCCTCAGTGCCTGGGACAGTATTCTAGGCAGGGTTTAAGCATTTTCTGCAGATTCTCCCCTTCCTTCCCCAGTGGAGTAGCTACTGTTCTCAGCCTCATTCCACATAGAGAGGGATAGTGGTTTGCTCAGGGTCACACAACTGGGCAGCCACAAAGCAGGTTTGGACCAAAGAGGCTGGCTCCATCAGGGGGCCCTCATTGCAGGCACAGGCTGGGGGTTGTGCGTGGGGGGCTGAGTGTCTCCTAAGGGGTTCGGGGAGCAGGGCTGGGTTACCTTGAGCATTCTGTAGCCAGAATCCCTCCTGCTGCTGGCCACTTTTTATGGATGACACAGGCACAATCCACAGGTAGCTGTAAGCAGAGAGCCGGGCACCAGGCAGTGAGGGACAGCAACTCCTCCCAGGCCCTCCCACCTCTGACACCCAGCTGGACCCCCACCCTCAGGATTCCCCACTCTCCCTAGGGACTGTGAACTCACTTGAACTCGGATGGGCGAGTGACGTTGGACTCAGGGTCCAGGAGGAAGTGCTCCTGGGAGATGGTCCCTGTGGTGGTATTGATGGTGACCACGGGGAAGCCCATCTGCAGGATCCAGCGGTCCATGATGTCACGCACTGAGGCAGGCAGCTGGATCTGATTCTGATTGTCAACGGCCTATGGCGGAACAAGGGTGCACAGTTGTTCCTTAGTCACTATGCTTCCTTGTCCGCCTGCCCAGACTGGCCTGTGCTAATCTAGGAGATCCTGGTGGGGAGGTCAGAGACGGGCAGGGCCAGAGAACCTGAGGGCCATGGAGCCCATTCTACACCCTATGGGAATCATGTACTGGAGATGGTGACTGGGATGCCTGCACCTGCGCATGAGCAACCTGTGGCAGGATGAGAAAGGAGAGGAGACAGAGAAGGGAGCCCACAAGGGCAGAAGTAATGGCTAGACACAATTGTGGACTCCTGAAAGGCAGCTGCTTTCATAATCACACAAAAATTCAGCAACAACTGAGCCCCTGTGAAAACAGCAAACACCGAGGCAGGAAAAAAAAATGAAGGCAGGAGAGTGGCAGGTGCAGGCTGGGAGGGAAGGGGCCTGAGGGCCACACAGGTATAGATGGTGGGGAGGGAGGCAGTAAAGGAGGTGATGCTGGGTCTAGGCCAAAAGGGACCATGATGGTGCTACCACCTCAGTGGGTCTGCAGCCAGGCTCTATAGAGCAGATTGGCCAGGAGAGCACTGGTGCCTGGGACAAGACACAGCTGCCCTTGCTGCTGGGCATGGGGCTGACCTTGCCTGAGGACTGGGCCACTAGTGGGGGACTGTGGACTCCTACTCTGGGTGAGGCAGGGTGGGGCAGGTTGGCAGGTGTGGTAGACAATGGTTTACCCAATTGCCAGGGGCTATCAGGGATAGAGCTATTGTCAAGGGCACTGGTATGTGCGAGGAGCCCGGGAGGGGCTGGCTGGGGCACAGGGCAGCCAAGACTGCTGAGTCGGGAGATGACAGACTCCAAAGTTCTGGGTGCAGGAGAAGCAGGGTCCAGGCTCAGGCAGCCCCAGGCTGGTCTCCTCGCCACTACAAGGAAGCATCCATCCCTGCAGCCATGACCCAGACTGAGGCTCTCCATGACCCACCTAAGCCATCTGTGCCATCCCTGGCATTAAGGACCTGCCACTGCCCTAAGGCACGTGGGCTGACCAGCACGTACCTGCTGCAGGTGCTCCCACAGGTCCAGGTAGACGGTGTTGTTGTAGGAGAAGGTGTGCAGGTAGGACTGTGAGAGGAGAGGTGGTAGTGAGTGCCAAACCCAGGACCCAAGGAGAACCCTATGCCCTGGGACCAGCCAGGGTCGCCGCACTCACCGCCAAGCCCAACTTGAATAGGTCCTCAGTCAGGAAAGTAGACAGCATCCTGAGCACAGAGGCGCCCTACAAGGGTGAGGGCATGCAGGGAGTGAGGAGGCCGTGCCCTGCCAACTCTGCTGCCAGGAGTGACAGGGCACACCTCCCACCCCGGGCCCCTCACTGAGGCAGCACCTTGTTGTAGGTGATGGAGTCAAAGAGCTCGCTGATCTGGGCAGGCGTCATGACCTCGTCGGCCGGTGAGGACAGGGGGTGGGAGGAGGCCAGGGCATCCACAGCCATCACATAGTGCAGGTCGTTCAGCACTATGAGGTCCCTCTGCAAAATCCCCCCCAGCTGTCAGATTGGCCCAGCAGGGGCTGAGGGTGGCTCGGGGGTTCCTCCACCTGCCCACCCCCAGATCAACCAAGCTGGCTCACCAGATTCCAGGTGGGTTCGGCGTAGTCAGCACCCAGGTACTCCACATAGGAGGCAAAGCCCTCGTTCAGCCACAGGTCGTTCCACCAGTCCACGGTCACCAGGTTGCCGAACCACTGTCAGAGAAAGACGTCAGCTGGCAAGCCCCAGTGGTGCCAGCATCACCCTTGGCTAAGCGCTTCCCCCTCCAGACCTAAGGGGCTTGGCTGGCATCTCTGTGACCCCTCTGCTGCCCTGCCCTTCGCATGGCTCATGCTCTCCTATTTTCCTCTGCCCACAACATGGCTGGGTGGCTACCTGGTGGGCTAGCTCATGAGCCACCACAGTGACCACCCGCTCCTTATTGCCGATGGAGGAGGACACGGGGTCATAGAGCAGGGCGTTCTCCCGGTAGGTCACCAGTCCCCAGTTCTCCATGGCGCCAGCATTGAAGTCAGGCAGGGCAATCTGGTCTGCAAGAGAAGAAGTGATGGCTTGTCTTCAGGAGGTGGCCTCCGGGTGGGGTGCCCTCACCTGGCTCCTCTTCAGGGCTCCCCACGCACCAGATTTGGGCAGCGGGTAGGGTGTGCTGTAGTGTTGAGCAAAGAATTCAAGGATGGGACCAGTCACATTCAGGGCATACTCGCCGTGGCCTTCATCAATGGCAGCTGGTCTAGCCCAGATGCGGATCTGCAGGGTGGCAGGGAAGAGTTAAGTGTGTGGGAAAGGGAAAAGGCTGCCAAGGGCCCCATCCATGCTACTGAGAGGCTGGGGGACTTTGAGGGACTTTGGAGTCACAATTAGCTATGCTGTGGCTGGCACTCGAGGGGAAGACTGAGACTCAGGGAGCTTAGAGCTGCAGCCCAAACTTGCTCAGGGCTCGGTTTGGACCCTGACCAGCCAGGAAGCAGCTGGTGTGGGGCGAGAACCCAGGGACAGCCAAGGCCTGGAGAGCCAAGTATGTACCTGAACATTATTGGGTGTATAATTCTCTATGCTTGTGAATTCACTGACAATGTAGGCCAGCAGGTACGTGGACATCCTGGGGGTGGTCTCGTATTCCGTGACGTTCCAGCTGGGGTCTCCAGGAAGTGGGGTGCTACCTGGGGAGTGGACACATGACTGCATGTCACTGCACTACCTCCCTCTCGACCCCCACCCCCTGACCCCAGTCCCGGGCAGACCCCCTCACTTTTGGGAGGCATGTTGGAGAGGGCCGTGTGGTTTGCAGGGTGGATGAGTGTGATGTTGAACGTGGCCTTCATTGCTGGCTCATCAAAGCACGGGAAGGATTTCCGGGCATCCGCAGCCTGCATCTGTGTGGTGGCCACCACCCTGTCCAAACCCACAGGGTTGGAGTAAGTCAGCAGGGGAAGGGGTGCCAGAAAGTGGTCCTGGCTGTATCCTGGTCCTCTCTGCCTTGGCAGGCAGGCAGCCTTGGCATAGCAGGCCAGCCGGCCACAGAGGAGACAGGTGCCCCTTTTGGAGTCAAAGTCTGGGCAGGTCCCACCCTTGAACTGGCTAGGGAGTGTGGGCAAGTTTCTGTCCTGCCTGTGCAGGGGACACTTCTGTCCTCTCCGACTTCCAGGTGAGGGCAACCTCCCACAGTCCCTCAGGGCCCCGGTTCTGCCTTAGCACCCAGGTATCTCCCCAGTGCACAGAGCCAGCCCCCCACTCACTTTCTGATGTTGCCCTCCGTGTACTCGCTGCGGTAGAAGCCTGCCAAGTCGTCAGCCAACTCGCCCTGGAACACAGTGTCCATCTCGTACTGGCTGCCCGCCGTCAGCGAGCCCTGCAGGTGCACCACTAAGTACTCGGTGAGCTCCACCAGCTCCGTGCGGTCGATGGCAGGTGGCTGGGAGCCCCCCACGCCCCGCAGCACCACATGGTGGCCCTGAAAGGTGGTATAGTTGAGCTTCTTGCTGTGGATGATGATGACATTGGTGGCCTGCTGGCAGGTGAAGCGGACTGTGCTGTTGCCCGTGAAGATGTAGAAGTTCTGGTCGTTGGGGGTGAGGTAGGGCCGCAGGACCACGTTGTAGGAGTCAGGGATGAGCGTCCTGGGCAGGCGGTACTGGTTCCATGGCAGGCTCTGGTCCACGGTGGGAGTTGGAGTGGTGGTCGGCGTGGTGGTGGTGGTGGTGGTGGTGGTTGGCAAGGTGGTGGTGGTTGGCGTGGTGGTGGTGGTAGTAGTGCTGGTGGTGGTGGTGGTCGTTGGCGTGGTGGTGGTGGTGGTGGTGGTGGTCGTTGGCGTGGTGGTGGTGGTGGTGGTGGTCGGCGTGGTGGTGGTGGTGGTGGTAGGGCTTGTGGGAGCCACGCAGGGGCTCTCAGCCGAGTTCTTGCTCTTCTCCTGGGCGTACACCACGGACAGGGCCACGATGGTGCACAGAGCAGCCACACCCAGGATGATGCCCAAGATGCCCAATGGCTTGGAAATGTAGAAGCCCTTGGCCATGGTGAGGCTGGGAGAGAGCCTGGGCAGCTGGGGCCAGTCAGGGACCAAAGCAGTGTGGGACCAGCCTTATATCCCCCATGGGGAGGGGCCCCACTGTCCTTCAATTGGGTAAAAATTAACCGGGGCTCAGACAGGCAAAGGTCACTGCACTGGGCAAGGGCTAGTCCAGGCACGGTGCTAGGAGTGTGGCTCAGCTCGGCTTGGGGTGCCTGCTGGGGCAAACAGGTGTCAGGTTATCGACCGCAGCAGGTGGCATCCCTCTGCCTGCCACCAACCTGGACAGGGTTGTGGGTGAGACATGCGTGGAGCAGGTCCATCTGGGGCAAACTGTCCTGGATGTGCTGGATGGCCACCCTCAGGGTGGATCCCTGGCAGGGTGCCAGGACTCCCAGGCCCTGCCTCTTTCACATTATTGCTGAGCAGGGAGTTCTCCCAGCAGTCACACTCTCCCTTCTTGCCAAAATCCTCAGCTAACAGCAGAGGAAAGCCGCCATGTGTGATTTGTTCTGCCTTCTCTCTTAGACAGGCAAGGAGGCTGTTGCAAGCTTACCTCTTCCCCGCTGGGATCTAACACAGGTAACTTGACCTTTCTGAACTGCTTTCTTCATGAATAAATGACAGCATCCACAAACGGAATTGATGGACAAGCACGCTGGGACACCACAAGCAGGACCCAGCAGCCACTGCCTCCGGCTCACCCCTAGCTCAGACACAGCCTCCCCTGCCAGCGTAGAGTCCACCAAGCTCCCACTTCTCTGCTCAGAAAGAAGCCAATGCAGCCAGTCCTGGTCACCACCGCACCCTTCCATTGGCTTCCAACTTCCACCTGCCAGCACATCTGATCACTGTGCACCAAGGCTTCCAGACTTCCATTTGCTCCCAAGGATCCAGTCCAAACCACTGGTAGGGAGCAATAGACCTGTCCCTGGCCCCAGCCTCATGACCACCATATTCCCCACCACATAGCTCTGACCTTGACACATGCTTCTCTCCCCTCTTGCCCTGTTCACTCTCCAAGTCTTCCTTGGAGAAGTGGCCCTTGACTCTCCAGCCAGGCCAAGCCCTCCTGAGTCCTGTCAGTCCCATAAACTTCTTTAAACCCGGCCCCTAAGTGCTCTCACCCACCTGCCCGACGTGGTGATGCCCTGAGCCCTGGACCACAGCCCCCATAAGGACAGGGTCTTAGTTGTTTCCGGTTACTAGTCCTTAGCATGGGGACTGGCACATAGCAGGTGCTGAACTTACATTGGCTTTTAACATTTTTCAATTTATTGATTTTTTGTTTTATTTGAGAGACTGAGAGAGCATTCCCCTCTGATCTGGATCATTCCCCAGGCACCCACTACAGCCAGGACTGGACCAAGTGACAGTTCAGGACCCGGCCTGACTGTTGCTTGAGGGCCTTGTTACTTGCCCCACCCACATCAGCCTGGAGCTGGCCAGAGGCCTTGCTGGATAGGCAGACACGTGATGCGTTCATTCAGGCCCTAGGACAGGAGTGGCTGAGTAACTGTGTTATGGGGTACAGCCAGTGATAGTGGGCAAATGAAACTTAGTTTTGTCCCCTATCCTCTGTCCTGAAGATGGGTCCTAACAGCAATGAAGTGATAATTGAATCCTCAACCACTTTCCCCATGTCCTAATTTAGCCAGGATATTGGATGCAGACAAGTCTAATTAGTCTAAGCATTTTCAGCTACAAGCCCAATTCCTGTTCCTGCCCATCCCAATGAGCACCAATTAACTCCTTAACTCACAACACTTAAGTATTCGCTCCTGCCCACCTGTGACTCACCTAGCAACTGAGAGAAGACAGTATTACATTGTCGTGTAACCACTCCCCTCACAAGCCCCTTTAAAAGGCCAGGGTAGCAGGGGCTCTCTCCCCCTCTCTCTGTGTTTCTGGCAAGGTGCTTCCATTATGCTAGCACCTCAACTCTTGGCTGACCCAGGACAGGTGAACCCCTAGGCATGGTACCTGTGTACTGCTTAGATGGAGCAATGGTTATAATAATGCTGTTTCTGGTTTGTGTGCTGTCAGGAGTTCCAGGAGAGGTGAGGCCTAGCAGTATTGGAATGTGGGCAGAGAAACCAGGGAAAGGTGAATGTCCGCAGCTTTGTAAGTGTGTCCCGGTTCTTTGTAAGTGTGTCCTGCTTATTCATTGCATGTCACTTAGGATAACTTACATTGTTGGGGAAGCTGGGACATAGGTCTTCAGCTTAATGGATGGACATAAGGATAAAGACCATTTGTTCCTTTGGGATTATGATTGGTTGGATTGCCGTATGGACTTGTGATTTGCTCTTGTGCTTTATTATCACCAAGCTTGGTTAATAAAGACTCCTTAATAAGCCTTAGACATGTCTGGTGTGATCTCGCTCGCACCTTGCAACAACTGCCACCTCTCCCCTGGACTGCAGGAGCTGAGAACAGGGTCCTCAGAAAATTCTGGGTGTCCAATCTTTCAACCCTCAACACTGTCCATTTCCCCCAGGGGTGGCCATAGGCCAGCAGGGACAGCTCACTGTGCTTGGACCTGGGCTCACAGCCACAGGCACACATGGCAAGCCTTCGGGGTAGGCCAGAGCAGGAGCAGGCACCAGGAAGAGGCCTGGCCCCCAGAGAAACATGGCACATGCTCCCCGTCGCCCCTCCATCAAGGCTGAGTTTGTGGTGTGAGACCATCCCCTGCAACCCCTCCCCACCTCGGTAGCCAGAAGCCCCACAAGCCCGTGCATCTTAAGCCCTTCTCCAAACAGAGACAGCAGCCGCTGGCCCATTATGGTCTCTTCTTGCTTGCCTTGGGTGCAGAGCCTGGGCCCAGGTGGCAGGAACCTGTTCTCCCCTGGCAAGGGCCTCTGTTCCTCAGGGCTGGCACGGCAGGCAGCCCACAGCTGGTGCTGGTGTGTGAGAAAGCTTGGTTCAGGGCTACACAAGCAAGAGCCAGTCCCTGCTCCCTGCCCTAGGTAGCCATGGTCCTGTGTGTGCCCTCCCACCAAGTATGCATCAGCAGGGGGTTCCCCTGCTCCCAGCTGTCTCCTCCAGTCCCTTGGCACCCTTAGTTCGGGCCTGTGCCTCAACACCTGAGTGATTGTGGGCCACAGACTATCCCCACCACCTACAGATGGCCTCCAGACCCTGCCACTTCCACACCCATTCAATTCAAATTGTCAGGAAGACCGCGCCCTTTACTCCTGTAACACTCATCCTGCGGGGTGGACCAACCAACTCACAACTCTCATAGACCGGTAATCAAGATGCCCGCATCCCACACAGCCATGCCTGCTGTCCCAGCCTTGCTCTTCACTGCCGCTTCCTCCTAATGTTCACTCTGGGAGGTACAGGTGGTGGCTCAAGGAGCTGGGTCCCCACTTACCTGTGTGGGAGACCTAGATGGCGCTCTTGGCTCCTGGCCTCTGCCTGGCCCAGCCCTGGCTGTCCGCAGGCATTTGGGCGAGTGAACCAGGGGATCAGAGTTTTATCTCTCTCCTGCTCCATCAGAAATAAAATGTGGAAAAGGCAGGATGTTGGAGAGAAGGTGCCATGATCTCTTGGCAAAGCTCTCATGGACTTGGCAGTGCTGCCAACTTGGGGTGGGGGGCTGGAGGAGAGGTAATCTGGGGGGCTGGGTGTTGAGGGACGTGTAGGAGTTTACCCAGGCAAGTGAGGGGAGTGGAGCAGCATGAACCAAGCCAGAACAGAGTGGCTGATGTTCAAAGATGATGGGAGGAATGACAAGATCTAGGAAGGAGCTTGAGGGCCGGGCCACGTGGGGCCCTTTGCTTCCTAGGTGACAGGAGGCACTGGAGTCAGGGATGAGGGAGTGACCCAGTCAGAGCTGTTCTCGGGGCCCTGTGGCCACCTCCCAAGAATGGAGCCAGGCAGGGCAACCAGCACGCCGTCCAGGTGAGAGCAGAGCTGGGCTGCAGGCACACGTGGGGCTTCCCACTGACCTTGACCCAGCCCTTCAGGCCCGGCAGCATTTCTCCAGGCAGCCTCAGGTCCCTCTCTCCTGATGGAGGAAGCTTCCGCAATCACTGATGTTTCCTTTGTTGGAGATTCAGTTATTTGTAAGCAGAGTGAAAGGAGGAGGAACAGAGAAAGAGAGCTTCCGTGTGCTGACTCACTCCCCAAGTGTCCTCAATGGTCAGGGCTGGTCCACACTGAAGCCAGGAGTCAGGAACTCCCACCTGGGTCTCCCCCATGAGCAACAAGGCCATTTTTTACTGCCTTTGTATAAGATCCGTGCTCAGAGGGCCTACATTGTGGTGCAGTGAGGTAAGCTGCTGCCTGCAATGCTGGCATCCCATATGGGCACTAGTTCAAGTCCAAGCTGTTCTGCTATCCGTCCATCTCCCTGCTAATAATTTAGATATATATAAATTAACAGTGAGATGGAGATTGTAATAGTGTGCCAAGCTGTCAGGTGGTGTAATAAACACTCAATAGAATGGCTGAGCACATGCACCTGCCTAAGAGACGCCCTGGCCCATGCTGTGTGTTGAGCCAGCTGCTTCCAGGTGTGACCTGGGGCCCTGTGTTCCAGGCCTCAGCCAGGCAGGGAGGGCAGCCCAGGGTGTCACACAGTCCCGGGTCTCTCTGCTGCTTTGGTTCCTGTCTGACTGAGGCACATCTATCACCCTGGTCAGGGGCAGAGGGAGCCGTGCCCAGGCAGGACAAGAGAGCACACACCCTGGGGTGTGCAGAGATGAGGGAAGAGACCCCTCTAGCCGGCAGGAGCCATGTATGGTTGCCAGGATGTTCCCTTGCTGCTGCTGGCAGAGTCTAACTCTGTAAGACTCAGTTAAGCCCTCTGAACAAGAGCCCCTGTCCCTTCTCTTTGCTCAGACCCCTGGCTCCATTCCTGGCATGTGTGTCAGGGCCTGGCAGGGGCTGCCACCATGCTCTGTGTAACCGAGACCAGTCCACCCTACTTCCTGGAGGCTCCAGGCCCCATGCAGCGGAGAGGGAATGGCCAGCTGTGCCTGGCAGCTAAGGCTGGGACAGGGGAA